GTAGACAAGGAAATTATGGTCCTTGAATAATAAAAAAACATAACTTTGAGAAAAGTTGGATTTTATTTAAGTTCTAGTGAATGATTTATTTGAAAGTGATAGATGAATTCAAGATAACAAATGTACACTTCAATTTTTAGTGTTTACATATTTTCTTGGATCTATTCTGATGACATGGATATCATTTACACAATGCGTGAAGTTGTGTACATCATTTATATACACAATGGTCTATGAAGAGAGAGTTGAAGCTCATTTATCAATGTTATGCACATTGCAATACCTGTGTATCCCCAAAAAAAGGACAATCCAAAAAACACCTGTGCTCAGGATGATAATTGTAATTGTAGGAGATAAAAATATTACTGACCTTGTGAAAAGGATCTTTGTAGAGATTTCGTCCTGCCAGAGGTTGATCATGTGGGAAAACAATACTATAATTCTTAGCATAACTTTCATGGCTACGTTCTTTAATCCATGTTTTATTACGTGTCTGTTCTTTGGTAAACCGCCTATTTGAAATATACAATTACAAAAGTTCAACATTCCTTTACAATATTTCATTATAGCTTAAAACAAGGTGTAAATATATACCTAATATCATATGCAAACAAGTGTAGATCTGGTCGACCATTGATTATCCACTGAGCCATTTGCTCTCCACACCCCCCTCCGAGCATCATCCCTGCAGAGTTATATCCACAACTGTGGTATAAACCAAAGAGTCTTGGGTCCTCTCCTGCAAAATATAAAATGTTAACATTCACCTCTGTTCATATTTCAAACATACTCTGTCAAACTATTTTTATACCTAGTAAAGGTTTGTGGTCAGGGGTGAAACTCTCTGGTCCACACACGGTCGATTTAATGCCAGCAGTTTCAAAAGTGGGAACCAGTTTCACAGCTCCTTGCATGTGTGCACTGAACACAATCCAGTCCAGTTCATACAAGCTAAATTCAAAATCAGATGCCACCTTTAAAAAGAAAAATAACTCTACAAAGTTTTCTCTCAACATTTCCTTCTAACTTCTTCACAAAATTACTATTCAATTCAAACACTTTCCTATTGCTAAAGCTGTATAACATTTTCCAGAGACCCTATCTCTATTACATTATTTTCAAGTCTTGAGTTTGTATTTATGTTTCACTTAAATGAAGATTTTTTTTGTTGTTGAAAAGAGGAACATGGTAATTGTCAACATTGTTATGCTATTAGAAAATAATAAAGAATAACTTTTCAAAATTTTAGATTATAATTGTATTCTTAAATGTGAATTCAGATGATTTTCTTCTAAATTAATATTCCTTGATCAATCTGATTGAACTCAAAGCCTTGTGAATTTGAAATAGATATTTTTATTTTGAGGTGTACTTTCCAAGAAGCCTTAAGAAGCTGTCCATAAATTACATAATGCAAATTTGTTATATTTTAAATACCCTCTCCCCCCCCTGTAATGCATCTGTAACCCCCTTAAATAATTACAATATTCGTGTCCCCCCCCCCCTTTATAATTAGTAAAAATAAATTATAACAGTAGAAACAATTTGTATTAATTATATTTGTGTTATATATTAAAATTCATGATTTTTTAACTCAGAATCAGTTGGCGATGTTGACTGCATCTAATACCGACTCAGGAACAATTTTATGTGAAGAAAGGAGGCTTACGCGGGAAAATGACTAACAATAGGCTGAGCACATCCTGTTGTTAAGAATGTATGGGCGAGAGAGTCCAGTACACTGATTTCAATGGATTCTAGAAGATACTACAGATTGGTTTTAAATATTGTCTGCATAATGTAACAAATTTAATCAATATACCATTTGTAATAATTTACAAAATGTAACTTTTTAATTTATTTACATTTTTAATCTAATTTGTTAATACATTAATTTTTTAGTACAAGTCTGAACAAAAATAATTAATTCAATAAATGATGAAAAAAATATCACTTATGTATCACTAAACTAACAAGTCTCCTATCCCTATGTAACACCCTTCTGTCTGCCTCAAAGCCCCTTCTCCCTGTCTTTCACGTTACTAATTTAGGGACAACATTAACAACATTTTCAAATTTTTCTCTAAAACGGCTCCAAATTTCTTAATTCAATTTTTTCATCAGAGTGAAAGATGAACGCCATACAAAATGACAGAGTGGCAAAACAATAAAAGCTACATATTTGACATTTGTCATACATTTACCTTGGTGTTTTCTCATGGAAAAATTAAGGAATACAGTCTTTAGAGACAAAAATATTGCAAATGAACACTCACATTATCCAGTATTATAGGATTGGGTTCATAACCTCCCATGCATAAGCTATCACCCTGAATGCGGAAATAAGTGGATGCATCATGATCTCGAACATTTGGCAGCCCTCTCACGCCAGGGATGCTCTCTGTCACCACATATGCATGCTTCATTGGAACCAAAGGCAGATCTATTCCCAATTTGGCAGCTAGCTCTCGAGACCATACCCCTACGTACATTTCAAACCATGAACATAACAATTATTCTGAAATAATGTTTCAATATTTACCAATAGATGTTAATTAATAACTTACCACAACAATTCACAACACAATTTGTTTTGATTGTTCCATATGGTGTAACCACACCACTTACTTGTCTACTGCCAAAAAGATTCAAATCTGTTAAAATATCAGTCACCGGACAACTTTCAATAAACTGAAATTTTGAAAAATATACATAAAAATTAAGACTATTTCAACAAGAAAATAGACTTATTAACAAAACAAAACTTTAATGTATTAGTACAGTATATATAATTATATAACATTATTTCCAGGGAGTTGAAAAATTGAACTAACTCACTTTTCCTCCAGCTTTCACAGCTGATCGAGTTAATGCATTACACAACATTGCTGGATCAACCACACCATCACCAGGACAATAAAGAGTTCCATGAATGACATTCTCATCAATCAATGGAAAAACCTTTTTGGTTTCTTCAGGTGATAATATATGTGACTCTACCCCAAATGTTTGCCCAATTGTTGCTAATCTTCGGTATTCATCAAGACGTTCCTGCAAATTTGTCAATGAAATATTTGGACTTCTGCATTGCAGGAATATTCAGTCATGTGTTCAGGGGCGCTCAGAGAAAACAAGAGACCAGAGACATTTTATTTCAAACACAAGTTCTGCCCCCTATCCCAACACAAACAAAATTCACTTCTCCATACTACAGAAATAACTTATAGCAGTTAATTTGAATTGGAAATATATACATTTAAAATTTATTTTGAATGAAAAAAGAAATTTCAGGGTCAGGGTAAGTTAGGGCAAGTTGCACCAGTTGCACCTTTCCTTCTGGGCGCCCCTGCATGTGCCACCTACCTTTGTGTAAGCAACATACATGCCACCATTATTGATCCATCCTGGATCAAAACCTGTTTCGGACTCTAATCTCATCAGAAGATCTCGGGTAACTCCCAGCAATTGAATTTCCACATCATTGGGTCTTAAACGCCATATCAGACCAGCTGTGTGCCACGTTGTGCCAGATGTTATGCGAGATTTCTCCAGAAGTACTGCATTCACCCCACGCAAAGCCAGTTGATACAGTAAGTTACAGCCAGCACTTCCTCCTCCTTAAATTAGTTTAAAGTAACAATTTAGGATTTTATTGAATATCCTAATAAAATGAATATATAATTCAAACAATTTACATGCCTATGATGACAACATCAGAGCTTGAAGGAACTTTGGGAACTTTGGGTGGATCTGGAGTTTCTTCTTTTGTGACTTGAGATTGTTCTGTGCTCAAACATTTTTTATGGTGTTGAATCAAGCGAAACGATGGTCTGTCAAGCCATGAAGGCCTGATCTATAGTACACAGAAGATGATTTTTAGAAAAACAATTTGTTTACAAAGTATTGCACTAATCACTACAAATCATAAATAGATCTTGTATCTAATCTAAAACACTTACCTTATTTATTGCATACCGAAACATATTTCAGAAAACAGTAGATGATGATGTTAAAATCTGTACAATCACAAGACAGTCATTCATGTTTTATGAGTGAAGATGGGCTGACATGAACATGATTACTAATGTCAATTTTGTTATCTTAAATTAAACTTACTTTCACTTATAAATAGTACTTTAAAACAATATTTAACTTGTAATTTTGAGCCAAAACATGCACTTCTTCCAGTAGGAAGAGAAACGAACTCAAGGTTACATATCTGGGAGCTCAACTCCACAAATTATGCAAAACAACATCTGGGTTCTGAAGGTCACTGGAAAGCTGCCAAGCTTTTAAGATTCATGGATAAACAAGGTCCAGAGAAGGCTGATAGTGACAAGAAAAAAATCTGTTGCTAACTTCACAACCTCATATTCTTACCTCTTTATGTTTATAAAAAATAGCAAGAAAGAAAATTAACTTAAATATATTATGTACATACACATATCCATATATTAAGGTGAAATACATTGTTTACTATTAAAGAAAGTCTTTGCTGCACTAAAAAATTTTTTTTCAATTGTGCCAAATAGGCATCAGTTTTATCAAGTAACAATAACACATTATTTCCACCTGCTTATTGTAGCAATTTCACAGGAAAGATCATAGAAGTCACAAGTGCTGCCTCACATCTGAAGGAACCTCAGCAGTTCACCCAGACACACAACTACTTTTCTCAATTGCTTCCAATTCAAACCACTTAATCAGTCAACAAACATGACCTCTACACCTACTAGTCAACTGAGATGGTTATTGACACAAACTAAGCAAATTCCATTCAAATCTTTAATTAAACTGTTTCTGATTGATTTGTCTTAATCTTCATTTTAATTTTTTTTATTTACTTCAATTTGATTACAATATAACAAAAAATTCATTGAACTATTTTAAAATAATTACCATTAACAGTAAAATGAAACTTGAATGAATGAGGAAAATTATAATAAACGTAGATGGCTAGAAGAAAATATTTTAGGATCAAAGCTTTTGAAACCACTTACCTTCCAGCTGCTCAGATATTTTCACTGTCCCCTTAAGTGCTGAAGCACTTACTTATATTGAGCATGCTATCGATGTACATAACCTTATGCCTCTGACCTAGAGACAACAGATAAGCTGTTCTGAGGTCACAGGAGGTCACTACGCCATGGCAGATCAGTCAATAACCTAATGTTTTACGGTAAAATACTTATCTGATTGGAAAGGATATTTAATCTGAATAAGACAATGCTTATTGTATTTAAAATTAAAGCATTTTTTACTGAAAACTTTCAGTCTAAATAACCTTATGAAGTATACAAATACTATTTTGACTTCATCTCTTCATCACTGCAATTTAAACACCCTGAAATTGTAAATAAATATAAGACCCGTTTCAAAATATAATTTTATTAAACAAATAATGTTATAAACGAATTAAATAGAAATTTCTTAACAATATACATCCTCCATTTTCAATAGAAGATTGGTAACTCCTGTGCTTCAGTGAGCATCACATCTCAAAGCCAACTTTACCTTCAAAAACACTGTTAAATTAGAAAGAATGCAAAATACACTTCAAAGGAACAAAAGCTATACAATATTTTCAAGACATTTAGAAGTTTGTAGTTTAAAGGAAATATATCAGTACACATCTTTGTAGAACACAAGTAAGCAAACACACAGTAAGGAAACATAATTTACTTTCTTTTACTGAAGTAGCTGCCACACTGACATATTAAGTATGAAAATATGATGAAACAAAGTTTACTGTGAGCGTACTTTAGCAATCAACCACACCTTGTTTCATTCCTTTTAATACAAAAATGTTTTATTTCAACAATTGTTATAGATTTACATATAACTTTAACCAAAGTTGACAACAATAGTTTAAATAAGGATATTTTAGGAATCTGGTTGCAACACAAATTATCATCTTAAACATAGTACTGAGTATTTCTATATGAACACCATATCATCTCAGAGTAATAAAAAATTATTTTTAAATAAACATTTAACATCTAAAATGAACATTATGCAAACAAGAGCAATAGCATGTTATTAATGAATTTAGGATGGCTAACTTTATGTACAATATCTTACATCTTTGCCTCATAGGCTAAACATAATGAAATCTATAAATACAATCAAGGCATTTTATACAGCGTGAATACAAATATGGGTGCTTTTTATTGTAAGAAAATTTAAAAAGGCAAAAACTTCTTTCACATTGTTAAAAAACTGATCATATAACAATATTTCATATAGGAGTAACAATTAATTGATCTATACAAATAAAATATACACAACCCACATTCTTCACTGCAAGGAAAAAATTTAGCTTGTTACATCTGCCAATTATCACCCAGTAACAAACAGAACATGATTAGTTACTTGGGGGAGATACTCTCCTCTCAGCTGTGGGTTGGTGAAGCCAGTCGGGGTGGAGTCGCAACATTGCGAGCTGCCCGGGCCTGCAACTCTCTTCTACATTCTTCCACTTGTCTTTCCAACTGAGCCTTCAGTACCAACAGTTCTCGTGTACGCTGACAAATTGGATCCTACAAAAATGCACACAATACTAATTAGAAATTTTTGGAAATTTGTTCACGATTAGAGTGAATCATCAGAAACAAAATAATTCATAAAGTAAAAATAACAATTTTAATCAACAAGTTTGAGAATTCCAACTGAGCCACCACCTGCAGGTTGCTACCAATTAACTCTAAAGAACAAGACAGAGGCCCGATAGAGTCCTTGTGAAGGTGTTAATGAAAGAAACAACAAGGATCAACAGTTACTCAGCATTTGCATGAAACTTTGGACTGAGAGTTATTTTAGTTTGTTAAGGCACTAGTAAACAAGGTACAATAAACTGAAATAGTCTTCAAGAAAGTATCCAGGGAGGTGGGGAAAAGGGGTGTCTGCATCACTAGCCTCCAATTACTCTTTGTAAATGGTATTTCTTTTAAGGCCGTGTGGACATTACCAGTCAACAGAGGAAGCCAATTATTAAAAAAAATTCAATTCAGTGTAGAAAACATCAAATGTCTTGTAAATTTGTGATTCACCAAATTTAATTTAAGGTTTCACTGAATCCAAGACAGACTCCAAACTATTAATTAAGAACAGTCAAGGCACAATTATCTGACAAAATAATTTAGGAAGAGGTACTATTAATGAAGACATTGAATCAGTGAATTTAAGAAAATGCTATGAAGGATATGCAGCAAGAACCACTAGAAGCAGATACATCAAGTTTTTCCCCAGACTTTTTTGACTGCAGACCTCTTTTCCAAAAATTATAAGAACAGTGTTACTTAACTCCCTTTAATTCACTTTACCTACTGAAACTAATAAATCTGTAAACTACTAAAAATGAAATATTTTTCTAGGTACCAAAAATTCAGCTTTTATTCACTTGTTAACAAACAATGAAAAATATAACAAATGGTCATCAATTGCATCAAAATCATTTGCAACATTTAATACAAAAAACCTGCACTGATGAAAATTAAAGCACAAAAATCACAAACTGTCCTTACATTTTTGGAGTAAAAAGGAAGTAATAAAATGATCACATTTCAGCATGCAACTCAAGTTCATGCTTGCAACAGTTTTCTTCCCTGATTTTGCTTTGCTTCATTGGATTCAATGTATCATATTAAGGTGAAGTTTTTTCTTTGCATTATTTCATATAAAAATATGAATGTTTGTTCGTGGACACTTTTAATGTTTTCCACAAAATAAAACATCATCTGAATTAATTTGGTGCAACAAACTAAAGTTGTATATATTTGCAACCAACAAACTAATAAAAATAAATTAATAAGAAGACAAGAGGTGACAGGACTCAACTTCTAGTTGCAGTCAAAATCCAAATGATTCATTGTAACTATTGACCCGTTAAAGTTCAAATTGACCCCAGGAGGTCAACCACCATGGGAATGGCAGAGATAGATCAAAAACAGGAAAGAGAATGGGAAGGTTAAAGGTAGTGACACAAACAGAAAAAAATAATGAGTTACATGCAAACTTTAGACTGTGATATTAAGAAAGCATTACTGCTGAGCAATGGCTATGACACTGAGAAAAAAGATGAAAGAAGTTCAGAGAGCTGATAACATACCAACACTAGTAGAAAACCAGTACTCACGATCAGTTATGAATGAATTTAAAAATGAATAAATTATAGTTAAAAAAAAAAAATTGAAAAGCTTACCTGAGGCCGCATGCTTGGATTCCAGCGGCAATAGTGACCCTTCCACAACTTGATGTGTCGCATACTGGCCACAGGTACAAGGACTTGTTGCTGCATACCTCCAGCCCAATAAAGAGGATTACGATATGCATCGATAGTAGAGTTTGTGAATGACCATAAGGACACTGTTCTCTGTTTCACTGATTCTGCAACTCTTTCTCGTTCACTGTCAACAAATAATTAATGATTAGGAAAAGAATTTTCATGTAAACATACTCATAGGTGTAAGATATCTGCATTCAATAATTTTAAATCGAGTTTTTGTAACATTCTGAATGAATCAAAACCACTTATTTTACAGATTTTGATACAATTACATATTTTACCTAAATATGCACAAATTTAACATTTTTTGTTACAACAAATCCTGTTACTTATTAATGTTGATAAAAGATTCATTTAAAATTAAAAAAACCTTCTCATGATTTATTAATTTTGGAGAATAAATCTTGCTATCATTTACACACATGATGTAATACAGATGAGGGAGGTCAGACATATCAAATCTTACTGACGATCACTATACAAGATCAAAACGCAAAGAATTAAAAACTAGTGGTGCTACAAGATGGCACAGACTTTCCCATATCTGTTTTCTATTTTCTTTGGTCTCAGCTAGCTATTCGGACTTGCCACATACTCTTGCCAGATGCCATGTATTGCCGCCCAAGTAGACTTTTTTTTTCAAATTTTCTTAATTTTGGTTTTCCTAAAAGTAGGGTGGCAATATGGCGTTCATGTTATATTATAGAGCACATTTAGGACAATCCCTACCAAAACCATTTGGAGCCATTTGAGACAAAATCTTGTTTTTATAATTCTTTAAAATTGCTCACTATATTGCTTGAAGACAACTAAAAGTTTAAAAAAAAATGTACATTACCTTAATAAAAGAACTAATTATAGACAACAAATTTCATTTGAAGGAAAAATCTCCATCTTTAATTTTATAGTTGTAGAAAGACACTGAAAAAATTCATACTTTTGAAATTTTCGAAAATTCAGCAATATGTCTCTTTTATAAGGGTATGTTACTCCATTCTTACAAGATATTTAAAGAAAAAATTTTAAGCCTTTTTGAGACAAATTTTGAAAATGTCCTGATAGCAAGTAAAATACCCCAAATTTTAAAGAATATTTTTCAAAATCTCAAAGCATCAACTCGAGCCAGATGGACAGAGGTTTCTTCAAATCGGAAAAAATCCTGCACATTGTTTAGGTGCTAGTGTTAAGAAACGAACATAGAGATGTTTTGAAATGAACCACTTTTTGGGTATCATGGGACCCCAAAACTTGCATTGCCTTTGAAATCTGGAAATCGAATTTTCGCAGCATTACATAACTTTCCCTATACTACGTTAATTACTGCGCACATACATAGGTATTCGGGAATGTAAAAACAGAAGTTAAAATAATGAAGAAAATCTTTTGAAATTGCATTAAAAAGACAAGCTGAATAACACTAGTACACCAGGAAACTCCCATGCCCAGTCTTTCAAAATGCCTTCAATAGAGATTCAAAATATCATAAAAAATTAGACTGGATCAGAACTGCCTCCTTTGGAATAGTAAAAAAGGTTTATTGTGAAAATGCAGTCACTAACATTGAAAGAAATTCAAGAATATTCACTGAGGTTCAACAATAAAAATCAAATAACATTAGAAATTCAATATGCTTTGGAAAACTAATGAAAGATGCCAACAAAAAATATTTTTTCTTAAAATTAAAAGCAATGAAAGTTTTGTTAACACCCATGAAACAACATTAGAAACCTTTCCTCTACTGGTAAACTTGCAGTCAAAATTCTGGCACATACTTACGTTTCCAATGCCATGTTAATGGTAAAACCCAACATAACCAACACTAAAGCTCACCTGTTAAATAAAAATGTGCCAAACCGACATGAGTAAAGATGGTCCAAAATTGTAATCAAAAAATAATCATTGAATTCAAAAGCGTTTGGGTACTGCTGAGTAATCTGCCACACACAGTCAATGAACTGAAGAAACACTGGAGATCGGTCTGCATCTGAATGGTGGTCGTCTCCATGGCCAATGCGCTGAAATACCCAAAACAGAAACAATGAAGGACTCCAACTTAGGACTACTATGCTCAACAGGGGTTTAAGTGCACCATCCACATACCTGTTGAAATTTGTGTCCAAAACTCAACCATTCTTTTTCAATGAGCACCTCAAAACCTCGAATAGTTCGATAATAAGGATCTAACATTAACATGGCCAAAGCTGTCAGCTGCAAAATAATTAAAATAATAATTATTTCCAACAATAAGGATCAAAAGGTGACCAGTTAAGGCAACAGTTCATTTGCAAAATGTTTTGTCAATTCTTAGTACACAGTCTCATATCATGGAGAGGTCAATAAGCTATAATTAATAACCAGTGTTCAAGATTTGGTAATCCATGGTTTGCAAATATTGGCTCAAAAAATGACTTTACAGTATTTAAATATTCACCATTCTTTGGTTCATGTTGAGGCATGCCACTAAATAAATGTTACAGTGTCCCAGCAAAAGATGAATAAAATTAGTAATTGGAAATTTACAAGCATAGAAACAAAGAAACCCCAAAACTGAACTCCATACAATTTTCAAAGTCTGGAGCAATTAGTCTAAGCTCTTAATTGCCTGTTGAACTTTAATTTTTAATTACTTAAAAAAAAAAAGAATAGGGCATTTTCTCAGCTGGGACAAAACTCCTAGAAATTGAATGTATTGAACTGCCCTTCTACCACCAGATACACAATAAATGAAATTACCCCCAGTGAAAAATCTTTTTATGAGATAATGGACAGTCTATGTCTTCTATGTTTTTATAATATCCTATTAAAAACATTGGTCTAAAATCTTGAATGTTAACCAAATATTGAAAATAACCACAGATATATAAGAAAATAACATGTAAGAAAATAATTTTCACATATTGGTTTCTTAATGAGCTCATATGCATACTTGCAGAATCCATTGTTATACTCATCTACACAAAATATTGACATGTTTGAATAAATTGCACGATTCTTGTTATCTTAACAAAGCTGATTAAAACATTAACTTTACATAGAAATTTTTTTTCAATTGCCATGCGAGATCTTCATATAATGTCAATACAAACAAATCAACAAATTTGTGGAGAAATTTTAATATCAAAATTAGTCTAAATTATAATACATAGAATAGTTCAATAACAACTTTTTGTATTCAATTCTGCCTACATTTCGTTGTGGTTAAAGTCTTACAGCTTTAATAGAACATTTTGGAAGACCTTCCATTATACGACATTGTTTCTCACACAATCACATTTTTTATTCTTCACACAAGTTGATACATCATGCCAAAACAAATATATCATAAAAATCATTCAACGATCTTTCAATATCACTTACTTGGGCAGTCCTATCCCAGCCATCTGAGCAATGAACCAACACAGATGTTTTATGGTTCTCCACTTTGTCCACAATGCGCACAGCTCCAGCTAAAATACACTTAATATGCTTCAGCCAGAAAGTTGATTCAAGTCCTGACAGCCAACGTGACTCTTCAATATTTGGAAAACACAGCTCTGAAACAACATAGACATAATAAATATTAAATATTACAGAAGCTATGTTTTACTTTTAGTGGAAAGCCACCACCATCACCAACAACAACACTATTGCAAATGATCAGTATACGTTTGATATTTCACAAAAATAATTACAAATTTTGTATTATTTTATGAATACTTTAAAAAAAGTGATGGCAACAACAAAACGTACATGAAATAAAGATTAAACTTAGTTATTCATATTGTAATATTGAAAGACTTTTCTAGGTCAACAAAAACTTCATTCAGTGATTTCAAGTGTGCAATCTCTGATTATTTTTGGAGTTCAAATTTGACATTCTAATTTGAATATAATAACGATATTTGGAACACTACTTTGTAAAAAATCTCTGTACAGAACTTGAAAAGCTTTATGGCAAAATAACAAAACATTAAATCAAATTACAAAAGAAAATAATTTATGAGTTATAATTTTATAAATAAACACAAGGTGAGCGATTTTCTTGTAATGTTTTGCTACCCAATGGTTTTCAACTGTTGTGTCATTTTTTTTGTATAATTGTTTGTATAATTTTAATAAGCAGTGTATATTACAGTTCATCTAAATATGCATTTAAAAGTTAAAATCTGAAACGTGCAAAGTTAAATAAAAGCTATGGAAAAACACTTTACAATTTTCATTTAAGAACAATCGTAATCTGATTTTCCTTAATTAAAGTAATATAAGATTCATTAATTGAAGTTTACAAACAATCATTTATTAATAAAAAGTTTAATTTTACTGTTACAATTACTACCAACAATAGTACAAATATAATTACTAAAATGTTAGAAAGAGAAAATGAAATATCCTACAATAAAAAAAACCCTCATTGTTAAGACACCGTTTGGTTATTGTGTTATGAATGATTCAGTAGAATAACTACTTTATTGGGCTTTATATTTATGAAAATCTTGATAATGAACTTTAAATAGGAAAAAAAAATCAACATCAAAACGTTTATAACAAATCACTAATAGAAACAATAAATAGCAAAGGACCTTGATGCGAACCTAGTGGAACTCAAAAAAATACAACTAAATCTTTTGAAATTAACTACTTGAATTTGATATATTCAATTTTATAAGAAAAACGATTCAAAGATTTTAAAAATGTAGGTATTTATTATGTTTTATAAAATGCACAATCAGCCAAGAAATTAATTTTCTCAGATAAATGGATTTACTACTTGTAGGTTCGGTCTAAGCTCTAGCCTTCCTTCACCATTAAAGATAAAAATTTTGAAAGAACCGAAGTTTTTTGAACAGTATGGAATTATTCAGAATGATTCAGAGCAATGACTGCTATACTATGAAAACAAATGAAACATCAGTATATTATAAAAACACAAGGAATATTTATATTGCAGAAAATTACTTATTCCTTTGAGCATACCAAGGCGAGGTACAGAGTTACTTTTTTGTTCCTTTTTACATATTGGTTCAATATCTACAGTAAGGCAACTTTGAGAACATGCTCTTGAAAATGAATTATATGGTAAGATATTTTACATTCTAGAATTTAATACTGATTTGTAATAGAGCTAGAGAATAATTGTTTATATGAGAAATGATGAATTTATTAATAACCCTTCCACTACTGCAATAAATCGACAATTTCAATGCCCATCGTATTGAAATACTGGAACATATCAACAGTGACCATGTAGAAAATTCTATATCAACATGTGTTTGCCATTTATAGCATTCCAAAATAGCTGAGTAGATGGCAAGCAAAGTAATAAGACCAGAGGAAACATCAGCAAATCAAGATGCAAAGTTGAGAGAGTTGTGCTACTGTCTCAATAGCAATATTGTTTTTAAGAGTTAAAGAGATAAATATGTATTTACCTTTGAGTTTACGGAGGGATTCTCTCATAACATGAATATTATGAATGTCAAGAAACACTAATTCTGCATTTTGATAAGCATCTTCAGATTCATAACCACCTCCTTTAGCTTTGTTCGCAATTGCATTGGCACTGTAACAAAAGAAACAATTATGTAGATTTACAAATGCTTCAATGATAATAATTCATATTATTTATATATAAACAAACCTGGGCCTAGCATCCATAATGAAAAGCTTATGTGACTGAGCATTTGCATCCATAATAAGTTGAATATATCTCTCATCTGCTGTGCTACGCTTGCCACTTACTCCCACCAATGGTTGGGAGCATCGAGAGATGGTTGCCTGACTCTCTTGGTGGATCCATGACAGGACAGGAACCCGCCCTCGAGATCGAAACTGCGCCACTGCTCGCAGGTCTTCATCTGTAGCAGCAGCAGGGACTGCCCACACAGATGGGTAACTGTCACACACTTCATGACTCTCATTCAATTTAGAAATTTTCCACATATCGTTGGGAACTCCCTGAGAACAAAAACATAAGTTAAAATTTCCTCCTTGTAGGTTCAAGATCTAAAGTAAGTTTTTTCTCATAGCAAAAACATAGTGAATTAAAATTATGGGAGATAATATATTTCCCTTTGATATAACTTCACGTTTACAAAATTCATTTTAACTACATACCATTCGTTTTAACTCAGCAATTGGTTCATGAACAGTCCAACCATTCTCAGAGAAGGATTCTGTGTACTCAAATGCAAACAATGGGAGTTTGTGAGACAACGGAAATGCAAACTGCTGAAGTTTTTCAAAAACATTGCGACGAGAATGGTTTTCCTTTGAATAACAGAAACATTCATTAGAATCACTACCTTAAAATTTCAAAAATATCACAACAAGAAATTCTCAGTTAAGTACCTGTTTATGGGCAAATCTGAGATTCCTCATATCTTTACAAAATACTTCAATACCATAAGAATTTTCTCCTCGACTGGAGGCTCCTCCAACCTTCTCTATACGGCTAACCTGACAACAAATTGGAAGAAAAAATGTACTATAAAAAAGAGTTATGTTCGAGGTAATGAAATTTTTAATTTAAGTAATTGTAATAAAAGAAGAGACGCTGTCATTATATTTTCATTTGTCATAGATGATTTTACACTTCAGTTTATGTATATAGTTACAATTTCCTTAACTGACATGCACATTAATAGAATAAATTGAAACACTGAAATATTTCAAATACTAATCAACTGAACAATCAAATCAATATCATCACATATCAACATGAATAGAACTAAATTCTTCAAAATCCATGCAGTGACTTAATACATCTTTTCAAACATTATTACATATAATCAAAATTTGAAATTAACCAATTTGAAAGATCAAATCAAGAAATTAATGAATTAATGTTACATGACAAATGAAAAATATTCATTAATAAGGTATTGATTAGAATAATACAAGCTCCCAAGAATCACAGATTAGCACTGAAAATATACAAACAGGCATTAACGAATGGATGGCTTCAGAAAATACTTTTAAAATTAAGGGCGCACACAAATACAGCAGCAATTCTTTTATTCCTTAACATTTACAAAAGAGATAACTATTTTCCATAAAAAAGCCTTCAAGGACTCAGATAGCCAATGAAATACTTCACACAAGCCAATACTATTCCTTTCTTCTATATAATCAAAAAGCAGTGAAATTCCAGCACACAGTAGTTGCTCTTGAGAGAAATATGTAAGCACAAATATTTTTCTTCTAGAATTAATAAAAACATACCACACCAAGAGGTACATCCACAACATAAGGTGTTTCTCGGTCCATACTACGGAAGTACAACTTGTAATTTGTCACTGATAATGTCCCTCGAGCGGGTCCACTGTATGGACACAAATATGTAACTTCTCGTGCCATCCCTTGCACTTTTTCTCCTGGCAGAAGAGGTGGGTCATCAGGGCGAGATGGAGGTCCACTTTCTGTTACATTTACCTGCTAACATGATAAAATATAAATATTGCTGTCAAATAAACAAGGCATATATTATCATGTTATTTATTGCATATCACATGTCAAGAAACTAAAACATGGACCAAAAAAACAGAGAAGTCATTACAATTTAAAATCCTACTTAACGATGCAAGAGAAAACATGCATTCCGGCAAATTATGCATGCATACCAACAGCATAAAATTTAGAGGCAAAAATTCTACATCACTTAACAACTTACTTTGCCTTTAACTTTGCTTTCAAGAGTTGAAACTACATTTTCAGTTGAAGTTGAACTTGATGAACAGTAGCTTTTAGAAGGAGATCCTTTACTTGAACTTACCTGCAGATGAGAAAAATTCATGGATGCAGGATACTAACAAAATAAATAACATACCTAGTAAAGAATTTTAACCAAATCTACTACCAAAGAAACAAAATAAAAAAATTTAAGTAAATTATACTCACAGATTCCTGCCCCAGTTTTGAATTCAAGGAACTTGACTTAGAATCAGAAGCGAGGGAATCTGTACTAGCGTGTTTTGAATGACTGTTTTCCACATTTAACAGATCACTTGCCGACTTTCTGTCCATTTTTGCAGCGATGTTTTGTTTAAAAAGTAACCTCAAAATCACTTTTCATTTGCTAAAATACGACAGCAAACCTACTGCGTATTCAGTGAAGTTCAGTACATCTTTCTAATTGTCCCAAATTTCATGACTCGTAACAACTATGCCACTAGTGTTCGCTCAAAATCAGTCCACTAGTCCACACCCTCCCTGCCTGTCACTCTACTTCATGTTACTTATAGAGAAAATTAAGGGGCATTCTTAACTAGTTAATTTGTAGGCCAAATATACAGTCGTTACACTAGGTGTTTTAAAAGTTGCACTCCAATAATTTAGTCCAGACGACTCCGACAAAACCACTAATAAACTACTTAATCGTGAACGCAGTACGATATACTCTCTTCCCATGCACCTGTTCCATCATGTTCCATGGAATACAACGGCGCAATCTTCCTTTACAATATTTCCGGACATTTTGAATGGATATTAGCCCATTGTCTACGTTTTATATTTCATATTCACAAGTAAATGAGGCAAACGTAAAATAATAACATTCCAGAAACGCAAAAAAATCATTCCAAATATATTATTATATCATTGTTAAGTCACAGATGGTCACAGACGGGTTTTAATCGACTCTTTATATGACGTTTCTCGCGGCATGTTGGTATCTTTCTTGTCATAATTATTCCGTGCTTTAGACGAATTATATATACGCGCTCTGTGCCTATGCTGTTTCATCGCCGAATTCGGGCGAGGTATTTTTTGAATAGTGTATTTTACTCATTTTCTTGTTATTTGAAAATGCATTCAGCGTTGCAATGATTCTTCTAGTAATGCACAAATTTTGGATTGGCATTGTGTTAAATGCCATCCTAAAGTGTAATCTCAAGTAATAGTGCATATCTTGCGTAGATCTGTTAGCAAGATAAAACGAGGTTAGATACCATAATAATAATGATGCTATTGTACTGATTACTGATTTCATTTTGCAGTGAATTATGGAGGTGGACCCTGAATCGGACAGTGGAGACGAGAGTAAACTCCCGTTTTTCTCAGTTTTTCAAAGGGAATTTAGAGGTATTTTATTGCATTGTTCATAAATGAAGCTCATAAATTTCATGTCAAATTCCTTACTTTCAGGATTTTCCATAATTGTAGATTAATGTTACACAGAAATGAACTTTATGTTACACTTTCTCAATTCAAATAACATAGGTATTGAAAGAGGCCCATCATGGACTCAGTTCTACAGACAGTTGTCTTCTCCTTTGTAAATGACGTTTTTGTTACTCTAACTAAGAAAAAATTCTTGTTGGACTGTTTCTAAATTTATCAAAAGTGTTTGATGTATACCGTTATCAAAATGTGGAGCTTTGGGATTTAATGGCATTGTGCATCAATGGTTTTCATTTGAGCTTTTAAATTGTCAAGTAGTGTCAATACAGCGTGATAAAAATAAAAAGATTTTCATTGGCCCATAGTTCTAGTTTCATCAGTGTGTTTTGCAAATCTGCCGTGACTTCATACATGACAAGGAAACTGTGCAAATGACTTTTAAAAGAGGAGGAAGACTCTCACCAGATGATATTCTAACCCTGAAAAATAATCCCCTGCAGCTAGTATCTAAATTTAAATACTTTGGCATGACAGTACAAACTACAGCTAAATCTTTCAGCGAGCACATTCAAGATAAAACAGCATCCACCACAAAAGCAATATTCAGCATCAAGAACATCACAAAACTGTTGCTAAATACTGCAAAAACCCTATTTGAAATTACCATTTTGCATATCGTCCCATATATGGAATACGTCAAACTAAAAGTTAGTGACCTAAAAAGAATCAAAAAAGTCAAAGCATGATTGCTAAAAGCCGCACAGGGTATTTGAAAAGCAGTGCCTTCCAGACTAGCATATATACTTGTAAAGGAGACGTACTATATTGAAGATCTTTGACTACAACTACTTCTACCGCATACAGATGCTGTCAGTAAGCTACTCAAGATAGAAAAGAGAAACAACAGCAAATGCGCAACAACTTCTATTCTACGGGTTGAATAATAAACAGGAACTGGGAAAACGCAAATCAGGAACAAAGACGTGTGGTGACTCAATTCGCAGTAAATGATTTCCACCATTAAGTGTTCGACACAAGGAACTTCTTTAGCCTTGCAGAAGCGTGAGTTTATGAACTGTGTGGAAGAAAATTAGAATGATACCACCTAGAAATTTGCATGGAAAACAGTAAATCTCTGAGCCAATAAGCAAAGAGTAAAGAACATTCTATGTCCACTCGTGTGAACCTTCTAACTTTATTATTAAAGATAAAAAGATTTCAACCCGTTTTCTAAACTAGGCAGTAGAATGATTAACTAAAGGATACCGCAAGGTTTAATCCTAGGATGAATGTTATTTCTTATATACATCAACAATATACTGTGGACTGAAAAAAACAGCAAAATAGTTCCGTTTACAGATGACACAAAAATTATCAAAGCTGATTTGACAATCCTTACAAAAAGTATCACAAATGGTTCAGAAAGCAATAGTAGCTTTTGTAACAGGTTGTCTTGTAAACCACTGTTTCTAATGAAAAATCCTACCTCTTCCATTCATGCACCTATTTAAAATTGTATTCCTCACAAAGAAGACTCATGGATAGATCCCAGAAGTTCCAGCATTTATTTTACCTAAAATTGGTAGGCAAAAAGTCATTTATTCTGGCTCAAGTAGGGGTAACATGTAAACAATGAAAAATCACCATTTAAAAGAAATTATTCTATAAAATTAATAATTCAAGTGAATTGTATTTTTATTCCAACTCTAAAATTTGCATTAGCTCTTTCATGGAAGGAAATTGTCATTTCTTTGTAATCTTAATTGCACATGACCACCTGGTACAATGACTATGAGTTGTTTTTTTTCTTGCACGAATGCTATTTGCTCTTTTGAATATTGAAATGGTGCCAGTGAAAACGGAATTATAGTTTTTGTTTTACGTAGTTGGGAATTCCCAAGCACTGTGTAGGGTACATCATTTACAGAGAGTTCTGTCCCCAAAAGAGATCGGAGGCCGAACTCAAATGACGGAAGGGATAAGTGAACGATGTCTGATGGCATCAATGAGAAAACTCGGAAGTCATGACTAGTATCAACTTTCTCATTGAGTTCTTAATCACTACCTGCCCCTGCAAGAATTTTTCCAGCTTGATTAAGATCGGTGCCAGAAAGAAGCAAGGAAAATAATAATGATAAAGGCAAAATAGCAAAAATAGGTGTAAGAAGAAGAAGAAGAAGAAGAAAAAAAACCTACGTACTTATTTGTAATGCCAAAAACATGCTCCTGTAGGACGTATTGGACTATAAATTTGTTGAATTAAAATCCTATATTCAGTACCTACATATAAAAACAAACTGCCAGCTTTCCTGTTGAACAATATATTCTTCCATAAATACAAAAAGAGTATTTATGTCATCAATGTTCATCTCCATCAATGTAAACTTCTAGACACTTAATTTTGTTTCGTTGTTCCAAAAACGATCGATATGGCGGTGGGGGAGAGGATTAATTTATTTATAGCTCTGACTTCATGATCACTTAAATTGTTCTTTGATTGCATTCCCACTTAATTTATTTGCATTGAATTATGTTATTTTCTACTACTATGTTGTATTGTTTTTATTTATAATGACTGCAGCAAGAAGCGGATGTAAACATTCTTACATTAGATGACTTTTTAGATTATTAACATTAGATTACGTTATATTATGACACTTATGGCATTTTACAGATGACACTTTCTTGTTGAATATCATAAAAAATATTACTTTATATAATTGTATACTATTCTACAAACAATAATGGAAATTGGTTGACAGTTTGTGGTCACATGAGAATGTCAGAGGCGTAAACTAAGCAACAAAAAAATCAGAAGTGTTGGCATTTACACTGTAGTCACTTCAATTCATAGAGCAAAGGAATAGCATGCCTCAAATGTAGTTAATCGGCTATTTCATCATTCCAAGGGTCAAGCATGAGGTTAAGTGTATTGAAGGTTGTTGCATGAGCGGGAATTGTGAATAGTGTGTGCTGTTAGTATTCTTTTTATTATAGTTGGATATTGTAGCACAATAGCTATATCATAACATAGTAGAGCATATAGTTTGTCGCAACACTATCATCCTCCACTAGTAACTGTCAACCATCTAATTTTATCTAAACCTTAGGAAGTAATATAGAATTTGACTCCTCATACATAGCTTGCACTGTATTATATAAACATAAGTTAAAATAAAAACTATTATTATGTTTCTTAATATTATTATGACAAAATAATATGGACTCCAAATGGAGATATGAAGAATACTAAATTGATTTACCATTACCTGTGTGTAGGGTGGAAGGAGAGGGTAGCCAATGCTTTGGAAGATGAATTTGATTCTACATTTGAAGGAGTTCGACCTATATGCTGTGATCCTCCGGACTCTTCAGTGTGTCCAACAGATAGTGATAATGACGATATTCCACTAATTAATCGCTTGAAAAATGAAAAGGTTGATGATAGTATAAGTACGAAGAGAACAAGAAAAACAAGGTATTTCTAGTGTAAAATTTCCACAACTGACTTTTTCTTCATGTGTTGTCATTAAAAATTTCCTTTAGCAGAATATTTCCAAACATAATATTTTTGGATCTAATTGTGTTGAACAAAAATTAGTGTTCTATTGATTATAATCAGTTCTAAATGGTTTTCCTCCTCACTTCATAATTGTGTTGGTGCTGGAGGAGCAAATTGAGATCAAGATACCTTTTTCACTATTGTGACAGTTTTAAATGTGCTCCATGCATAGATTTTTGTGATAAAAATTGTTATTATCCTGTGTAATCTTGAACCAAATCATTTCAAAGACAAATTTTGGTGAAATTTTGGAAACCTTACAGTATTGTTGTTAGACATTACACTATCATCAACGTATAAGCATCTCTGTCATTTTGATATGTGACAATACAACTGGAACATAAACAAATCCTCACAAGCAGACTATTCCAGAGCAGGTCAGACGACAAACCACAGTATGTGGCAAAAGAACAGTCAGTGATGCTTATATGCTGTTGAAATTGTAGGTAGCATTTTTGATCAGATTCTGTTTATGAAGGCACAAAAGGGCAAATGAATTTTATTACAAGATTCCTGATTCCTTTCACAGAAAGCGTGCAAAAGAGAAGACAGGCCCTACTACCAGGGTAGAACCAGCGGCTGCCAGTGAGGTGGTGATTTTGTCTTCAGTAAGTGCTTAATACTTGACACTTCAAATATGAGCTTTTAATTTTAAAGCACCGGTAAGAGGTATCTCAGGTGTTTGTGATATCTTTGAGAAGTGTAATTGATGATCAATTATAATTTTCCTTAACCTTCACTAGTAAATCTATCTCATAACAGGTTATTCCAAGCCATTTCATATTTTGCTGTCACTAGATATCTGTTGTATTTTTCTTTGAATGGATTTCTTCAAAACTTGAAGTCTGTATGGCAGAAATTCTAAATATTGTTACCTATGATTCTGTAGTTGAACTTTTACAGATATTGCCTTATTTCTAATTGAATCACAGGATTATCTTGAAACTTGTAGTAGAACTAAAAGAGATAGAGATGATTAAAAACAATTTTGTGTGTTAATGTGAAACATTTCATACCAGCCTGTAAGTTCATTTAGCAATTAAACTGCAACCAATCAGCACCATCAATTACAATATTACAAAAAATTGTAAAAGGCCACCACTAGTTTGAAATATTGAAGACTTGTGCCTCTGTTGTGGCATGTCAACTAAGAAACTTCAGAAAACCTACCATTAGTTTTAGATATTTTTCTTTTTACTTTCTCATATACGTATGTATATATGTAGTATTGAAAAAGTTATATAATGCTATGGCAAAACAGTGACTTTTTACAAAAAAAAGTCTTATTGTGGGGCCCTGATAAAGAAGTGAAGACATTTTTTTAAAAATTTGTAGTAAAGTAATTTGTAGTACTTTCTATTATCATGCAGTCAGATTTCATGAATAGAGAGACCTTAGTACTCAAGAAGTTTTTTTTAAAATTATTATTATTATTATCCAACAGGCATATAATTCCTAAATACATTTCATATATACATAGGTTTATACGCTCTTGAAGATTACAAAATATTCGTTTGTCATAAAATAAGTATTGTCAATTGTTGCATATCTATCCAGTGAAATCTAATATGAGTTGTTTGATCATTTTAGCTATTGACGTTGTATTTCGAGTCAAATCAATTTCATTCATATATGTACTGGTGATTCTGGCTAAACGTGGTATAGCAAAATTATAGAAATAGGTCTCGGTTCTTACAGGAATTATAGGAATCGGTTCTACAGTCAAATTCTCTCAGTAGAGTAGATCTTCGCATTGTGTATGGATAGTCATACAATTGATACATATTTCGAAGTGATGTACTTCTAATTTTTCCAGTCAATAATTTATTCATAACACGTCGTGTACTATTCTCAAGGATGACAAAGTTGGTATTTGCAAATAGCTAGATATTTCACTGTAGTCATGATTATACCTCGGATTAGGTTTTTTTAATTTCAATTTCTTTTTTTAATTTGTTTTCTTTTCTTTCTTTAATTTGTTTTTCTTTCTTTCCTTTCTTCAGAATGTCCATGCATGATCAGCTTTAGCGTCTAAACTACATATGCGTAGGATTTCTTCCAAACTGAATACTCCCCATTCAAAATTTTCTCAGAAAGACTCCAAATTTTTCCCTTGAATATCTTGTAAGAAGAGAGTGAAATAATCGTATGAAGGTGGTGTAGTTGTAATTTTCACTGTTAACTTTGAATTTTTGAAAATTGCAAGTGTGTGAAATTTTTTTGGCATCTTCGTACAACTACAAAATTTAAGATTGAGATTTTTCTGTCAAAAGAAATTGTTCTCCATAATTAGTTCTTTTATTAAGTTTGTGTTCAATTTTCGGAAATTGTAGTAGTTTTCATAGAATATTGTGTGAAATATGTGCAATATTAAAAAATTTCAAAAACAATTTCTCAAACACAGCTCCAAATGTTTTTCTTTAAACTTTTGGTAGTGATAGCACTAATGTACTGTAACAGATGGCATCATTCCCATTTTACTCTATTCTTTTGTTTTAAAAAAAAATCTGAAATGTAATTGTTTGTGAAATCTCTCTTACGTCGTTAATATTTACATTATCGACGATTTGTGTACATTATTGAATTTATGAGTACACGTGCTACAAATGATGTCTTATAAAGTTTCTCGAAAACTCAAAATTTTTCTGTGAGAATGAACTCAAAAGTTTCGCATTTTCTGAAATACTCAAACGCCAGTTTCTTGAAAACGACCCCATATTTCTTTGAGGGGATATCTTGAATGGATAACGCTAAATGGATTGAATGACATGACACAAATGTTACACTGATGTATTTTTTTTCTAAAAAATTACACAAATGTAATTCTTTGAGAATATCTCTCACGGTTTTAATATGTATGTTTTCAGCGATTTATATAATTATTGCATTCGTGAGTACAAGTCACTTCCAGTATAGTTTTTCGAAAATTCAAAAAGAATTCTGTGAATAAGAGCTTCAACTTCGCATTTACACTAACGCTTAACCGCCATTGCTTTTAACGCAAAGACCGAATTGCAATTTTTACCTGGTTTTTCGCATTGAAAAAAGGAATCTTTGCCATGATCTCGCTGAAACACTTTCCTGGCTCGGGGGCTATGTTGAGCGTTTTGATCGTTCCACCTGTAAATTGGCAACCGTCAATGGTTGGTTCCTCTTCTGAGCATAGCTGCCTCACAAGCTACATCCGAGTCTGATTATCCAGCGCATAATTTGGTCAACCTTTGACTATGCCGTCCCTGACAGTACAAAATTCACCAAAGGCTGAATACTTCCGTCTTAAATTCTTTGACTTTCCATTGTCTTACCTTACATTCCGGCCCAATATTCCTCTCCGTTCTTTGATCTCGCATACAGTATCCCGGTGGTCACTGTGTGCAGTGTTCACAGTCTTCAAAATACTGAAAATCTCAACAAGCTGTGAAAAACGTAATGTCCCCACAGATCCTGCACCACTTCTGCGGAAAGCGCGTATATCGGCGTTAATGAGCTCTACGTTCAAGAGAGAGACGGATTGTAGCCAGCTCGACATCTCTTTATTGTCGAACAGATCTACCTCACTCCACGGCCCTCACGTCGAATCGCAAGAGGGCTGCGCCCTCTAGCGTTAAGGACTAGTAAACGGTCAAGGCATGCCACAAAAAGGCAAATTTGAAATTAATAAACATACAGAACTTAAAGCCATTTGATTAACAATTCCATCCATCCCACTATTATCCTGAAGATCATTTAAATCATGAATAATAACACCAACACACATAAATAATAAAGCTTATATGACGCGAAGCGGCTGTAGATATAAGTCCAGCTATTTTTACCGAAACGAATCCAACATCGGCTGTTGTAATTGTTGGAATGAACGATTCCTACATGCTCAGATTGCTTTGTTGCGGTGGTCGTCTACCCACGATGAATCGTCGCGGTTTCTGCATCCACACGAATCGCGATATATTTGTGAATACATTCCTTCACACTGCTAGGATATCCTGAGCGACTTCACAGTCGTTCAGATATATTTGAACAATTCAAGTGTTTTTGCGAAGTTAACATCACCGCAATTTATGCACAACTTTAATTCTGTCACACTCGCTCATGCACGCTTGATTTATGTGTCCAAACTCTAAGCTTTTGAATCATCTCAGAGGTATTTTCATGACTTGTGTACCCCTTCTATTGTAACCTGCAGCTAACAAAGCGTGGCCGTCGTAGACGGGAGACTGACTACTGCAACCCGTGTTACATTTGCTGAACACAGGAATTTCTCTACCGTGTCGGTAATTCCTTTGCTTCTTGGATTGTTGACTTCTGTTTTGGTTGTGACCCAAACCATTTCTTTATTGGAGACACAAACGCCAGTGTTTGACAGCGTACGGATCTCTGAAGTTGTAGAAGATCGCCGCTGCTGAGTTTCGGATCTTGCTTAACATTTGAACCCAATTATTTTAGCTCAAAATCACCTTTTTATTTTTCTCAATATGTCCGCGTAGAATAAGCATGTCTTTGGTGGTCTTTTCGAATTTTCGAACGCTTTTCCTTCTTTCTTCAGCCGACCCCTTGCTACTCGAACTCGCAGTCTAATGTTATCAAGGAAGGTGTTTCAGCCCGGAGTTCGTCTTCATTGCTCTTCGGAGTTTGATTCAATTCTATCGACACGTTTTCTTGTTTGTCACAATTGTGGTGGCTTGCTTTTCGTCTTCGCCCCTGTTTTCGCAATTTGTGGCTTTTCAGGGAACGTTTGAGTGCTTCTCTCCTTTATATGATACTTAGTACACTGAGGGGGATCTAGGGGGCGAACCTCGTTCCTGAACTGCAACCATGCTAAAACTTGTGCGACTCGGATAAACTTTTTGATCACGCATATTACATTGTGACGGGATTTCACAAACTCAAAGTTCAATGCTCTTTACGAGATAACTAAGCGCCTCTTGTCCCTCTTCACCTCTCTTGTTACCTACTACAGCCACCAGGTTTTCTCTGTAACACACGCTCTTCGGTCGGTATATGAAGCCTGCAATACAGACTCCAAAGGTGCTGTAGGTACATTGACATGGCGGCCCGTTGCTTAATGGTCAGACTGCACGCCTTCGACTGCTGGTGCCCGGGTTCAATTGTAGGCGTTTCCAAGTGGAATTTGTGAAGGTCAAAGCGGGTTCGCGGCAGGTTTTCTCGGGGTACTCCCGTTTCCTCTGCCAATATGCATTCCATCGGCACGCTCCATCATTCTCTACCCTACCCTACCTATCATAATCCATCATTTCGCGAACTATTCACGGACCACAGCGGTGTGTAGGGGATAATCGAGGGACTAGCTGAGAGGGCTGCGGCTACCTCAGCGATTTATCGATAAGGTAGGGTCCCGGCCTGGTGAACTGGTGAGGGTTGGGGGGGGGTGAGAGTGGGGGACGCCCCTTCCCAAGACCCTAATTACGGTTGAGAGAGTGGATGAAATGCTAGGCGGGGCGAGGGGTATACGATTATCTTCGTTGACACTGACCCCTGAGTGGGGAAAATAGTTTAGTTGCCCCAACAGTTCCAGTAATTGCAGGCCCGTGTGCCGTAGATTAGTTCCATAAAGGCTAATCGTTGAACCGCGCGCGTAGGCAAAGAACGCGTGAGAAGCACATAAAGTGCAGATGTCTTGTCGCTGAGGTGGCGAAGGTCACTGAGAGCAAGAGTCTGGTGTAAAGGTCACTGGGGGTATGGGTCACTGCCGGCGATGCACCGTCCGAGTAAGCTATCACTATTGTTGCATTAGTCTGGACTCGGCTACATTATGAACCCCTTACACTAGCCCAAAATACAGACGTCCATGTTTTTGTTATCGCAGCGGTCAGGATACTGCTTTGGCGGGACAGTGGTGACGCAGGCGATTGAAGCGTGCCTAGGGACCGCCAGATCTTTCTACGAGCCAACAAAAATACTATTTATCCACGTTACAGTTAACTATCTTAACAAAGGAGTTCTTCTCTAGTTAGCAAACGTGTAGGATGAACGAATAGAAATCTAAAAAGTATCATGCGCTATGCGAAATTTCGGCCTTCTATATATGAACATTCTATAGTAATTTTAGAATAAACCTGATTATTTGTGAAAGTTATGTCAACATTCCTGCTTACCCATAGACTTGCAGAGTGTGAGGTAAGCGTCACCCATCCCTCTGAAAAATACAAATTCTTGAGAGTTGTGGGGTAAAGGAATGGAGTGACGGGTGTTCTGCTGCCCTAAGTATAAGGGCCCATTCACAATGCAAACATAAACATAAACATGGCGTTAACATAAAAGTTAGGACTACGTCCACAAGCGGACTCATTCACAATGCGTTCGCATCTGCATAACACGTAAGACGTTAACTTAAAAGCTTCAAGCTTCTGTGGTTATGCTTAAGTAAGACATAAGAAATGAACCAATCACAGTACGGTAACTCAAAATCCAGAATCGATATTGGAGCGAAGTCGATAGAAGAGCTAACACCATATGGGTCCTCTTATCCTCTTTGTAAATGCGGTATACAACTTGTCTATTGCCATTTCAGGGTTCCAGTGTCGTAAAATAAATGACTATTCGGATAAATTTTCGTGAAATTTCTCATGAGTATGTTTGGCATATTTCAACTGTCCTGCATTATTGAACCGTCTGTCGTGATCTTTCTTCGAAACCTCTTGTAACATCTTTGGCCCAATTGTAAATAAAAATAAAGTGAACATAATTATTTTTAAAACAGAGGATATCCTCCCTGTTATGTAGGTTTTTCCATAGTCCATGGTTACATGATTTGTGAGCAATGAGTTCTGAAATCTCGGAGGTTAGCTGTGGAATGCCATAATACGATAATGTCATTTTTCTACACGTTTCGCAACATACGTTTTTGGAGTTCTAAGCATATGATGCTCTAATAAAGTAATTTAGAATTTACAAAATTTACAGAGTGTGTGTGTGTGTGCGCGCGCGTGCGTGTGTGCGTGCGTGTGTGCGTGCGTGTGTGCGTGCGTGCGCGCGTGCGTGCGTGTGTGCGTGCGTGTGTGCGCGCGCGCGTGGGTGCGTGCGTGCGCATGCGTGCGTGTGTGTGCGCGCGCGTGTGTGTGTGTGCGCGCGCGTGTGTGCGTGTGCGCGCGCGTGTGTGCGCGCGCGTGTGTGCGCGCGCGGGCGCGTGCGCGTGCGTGCGTGTGTGTGTGTGCGTGCGCGCGCAGGATGGGTGAGTGGGTGCTTGGATGGGTATGTGTGGTGTGTGTGTGTGCGTAGATGTGCGTGTGTGTGCGTGCGCGTGCGTCAGCGTGTGTGTATTAAAATATGCCCTAATAATAAAGTATACTAAACCATTTCAGCATTGTTTCTTATAATTTTTATGCACAGAACGGTTATCTATCACTTTATTCTTACTTAATTGTTCATTGAAATTTGTGTGTGGTGAGAGTGTGATATTTGTGTTCATTGAGAGTGGTGCTTTTAGATAGTTTGCGCAATGGAATGTCTGCCAATAGATACATTCAGCAATTAGCAACAGAATCAATTCCCAAGGATCTCTTAGCAGCTTCTTCATACCATTGAAAGGAATGTTTTCCTTTTCATGCTCAGTTTTGCTCTCATTTGTAGGGGAAGTACCCTCTGTGACTTGTGGGAGCAGGAAGCCATGTGTTTTTTTTTTCATCTTTACCGATTTTTATAATGGAATATTGGAAAGATTGTGATTATCCTGTGAAATATTCTCAATTCAAAAACAATAACCGGCTTCGGGGGCTCAAGGCATTAATTATGCTATTGCAGTGCCTCTGGCTGGGAGGTCCTTGGGTTCGGGTCACAACGATGGCAGGGTTTTCTACACTAGCTAGGTAGCTGGATCGAATTCAGCCGCTGTCTGAGGAAAATTCCAGCGGCCGGCTCTTCTAATGGTTAGGTTTCTGTAGTTTCTCCCTTCATCACCCGGCCAATGCCGGAGTAGTACCCTAACAAACGGGACACGGACCGCGCGATCTACCTTTTTTTAAGTTAGAAAAAAAAACTTTGCTTCGTCATTATTGACGCAACGCGTCTCCAATCCCTTTGTCGATCACTGAGCGCTTGGGGAGTAATCCACCCTTAATTACAGTCAGTTGCCAAGAGGACCACCAGGTAGCGTCTCCGTGTACGCGCCTCTTTACACCTCACACGCTCCTGCGCCTCTCCCCAGCAGTCAGATTGAGGAAGAAGTTAGGTCAGCGGTAGGGTTTTAGGACATTTCACAGGGGTTGAACTAGCCCCTGTAAAGCAGGCAAACAGGTTTTGTTGGAATTCCACATGGAATTGTCAGGGAATAGAAACCCGAACCGCTTTGGTGAAAGGGAGGCAACTTCGCTCTTCCTTGTTCTCTTCTTCTCTCTCTCTCTCTCTCTCCCGCCTCTCTCCCTCGCCTCTCCCGCCTCTCTGCCCTCTCCCGCCTCTCACCCTCCCCGCCTCTCTCGCGGCTTCCTCTTACGCAGCCATCTACTCGCCTCTCCCCTCTCGTCTCCCTCTCCCGGCCTCTCTCCGCTCTCAGCCGCCTCTCTCCCTCTCCCCTCTCTTCCCGCTCTATCCCTCCGCTCTGCTCTCTCTCCCCGGCCTCTCTCGCCTCTCCCGCCTCTCTCTGCTCTCCTCTCC